ACACACTCACACACACACACACACACACACACACACACACACACACACACACACACACTCACACACACACACACAAACACACACTCACATATCCACACGAACACACCAAAATGTGCCTTAAATTGGTCCAGAACGGAACGCTGAATCAACGCTTATAACAATAGCATGTGATGATATAAGTCAAGAGTCCATTACGCAGCCTGTCTGCTCATTTGAGAAGATTGCGCTGGAAGATTGTGTATAACTGTTGCGATGATCGTCGTCTTTTGTAACACAGAAGTAATTTGTCGTAATGTACGGTAATTGTCTTTGCATCCCGTCTACAAAATCGACATAAATTACGTCAATTGGTTTAGATTAAGAGGAGGTTGCCTTGATAGAAGACATGGCTGTAGTCCACCCAAAGTACACATTATGTACTTGTAATCATCACCATGATAAATTTAGATCTAGATCTAGATCAAAGAGTCTGTTATTTACTATCTTTGTCTAGATCTACATCTAGATCTAGCCTTCTTGGTCCACACCCTATCTGTTCAGTAGATTCTGTATAGTTCTGAGAAATTTGGCGTCAAAATTTTTAATTTTCACAAAATGTCAAGCTTTTTCGAAAGCAATTCTTTGAATACCTTGATAACGACTCCGAGTAATCTTACGATTTACATGTAGACAAAGCAGATAGATCATTTAGTTTTTGGCTCCATGGTCTTAGTAACTCAAAACGGCAAAAAATGTCAGATCTACAGAACTGTTATGGTTGCAAATCGTAAAAATAAACCCGTCATTACACCTGATTTTAAACCTAAACTTTAAAAGCCAGTGGTGGTACCGGTAGTAGTAGTAGTAGTAGTAGTAGTAGTAGTAGTAGTAGTAGTAGTAGTAGTTCATCATCATCATCATCATCATCATTTTCATCATCATCATCATCATCATCATCATCATCATCACCATCATCATCATCACTACCACCACCACCACTATCACCATCATCATCACCACCATCATCATCACCACCACCACCACCATCTGCAAACGCCATTCTTTGTGTCTGTCTGTGTGACCCAGGGTGTGAAGCTGGACAAAGCCAGCTTACAAAACCACGGCAGGGAGTGTCGCAACGCCGTGATACATCGTGTGGATAAAGTGCTCATTCCTCCTGACAATTCACTGATGGACGAGTTGATGGGGGACCCAAACCTTAGGTGAGTGAGAGAGAGAGAGAGAGAGAGAGAGAGAGAGAGAGAGACAGAGAGAGAGACAGAGAGAGAGAGAGAGAGAGACAGACAGACAGAGAGAGAGAGAGAGAGAGAGAGAATGAGAGATGGTGAGTGTCGCAACGCCGTGATACATCGTGTGGATAAAGTGCTCATTCCTCCTGACAACTCACTGATGGACGAGTTGATGGGGGACCCAAACCTTAGGTGAGTGAGAGAGAGAGAGAGAGAGAGAGAGAGAGAGAGAGAGAGAGAGAGAGAGAGAGAGAGAGAGAGAGATAGAAAAGAAAGAAAGAAAGAAAGAGAGAGAGAGAGATAGAGGGATAGAGAGAGTGTCTACCCATGTGCCACTTGCGTCTGTCTCACCTTTATCTTGAGTCTGAGCGTCTCAATCTGTCTGACCAGTATCTGGTTCATCTCCCTCACCCCGTCCAGCACGCTGTACTCCTCGCTTTGCTCACTGGCCATCTCCTCGTCACTCAGCGACGTCCGGGACGACCGAGCTGGTGACGTCACATCTACTGACCCCTGGTCATTGCTCTCACGGAGGGGACTCAAACCCCGGCCTCTCACCTTCAAGGTGTCCTGAGGGACAATTGGGGCAAAAACTAGTGCTGGGCGGTTAGGTTCCCGGTTTTTTAAAGCTAGGAATATTAGGAATCGACTCCGAACCCAATTACTTTCTTTCAAATGATGTGATTTCTTCCGGTGGTTACCTGGTTGGCTCCGAACATCTTCAGGGTTTATGATAACATTGCTTTCGGAACACTACGAAGCATCAACTTGAAAAAAAAAATAGAAGAAGACTTTAATGATCAAAGTAACTGGTAACCGTTGGTTTACGTAAAAAGGAGTCGGAATTTTTCTTACGTAGCATTAATCGTGGGAATCGGTTCCGGAATCGATCCTTCGCCCAGCTGTAGCAAAAACTATAAGGTAAGTCGCAGGTAAAGTTACCGTGCCTTTTGGC